ACAATAACAACAAATAATAATGAATGATTGAAGTAATAACAATAGTAATAATAACAATGAAATAACAATGATAATTAGCAAACTGATGATGAAGCAACAATAACAATAATAATGATGAATAACATTAAAAAGAATGTTTTTGATGATGATGTTAAGAATAACTGATGACACAACTGCAAATAAACATGATTATTATAATTGTAAAAATGATAACGACGTATTCTTGGAATGAGGAATAATAATGAGAATAATGATTTTGATAATAGATGATAATATTTGATAATGGTATCGTCATTATATATTTTGCAATAATGTGTCTATTCATCTTTTCAATATTAAAATCTTTATCTTTCTTATTGTAATCACCTGCATGATTATAATCCTTGGTCATTTCTGTTATCATCATTATTATCATTCATATCATAATGACTATAATGAAAGCAAAATAATGACACACAAAAATTATCATAGAAATAAACGACTACTATTACTATTATTATTACTATTACTACTATTACTATTACTACTATTATTATTACTACTACTACTACTTCTACTACTGTTATTACTACTATTATCAGCTTTGTTACTGTTATTTTCATTATCATTTATCCCACGATCATCATCATTATCTTTTTATTATCATTACCTTTATTGTAATTATTATCATTGTTAAAGTCATTGTCGTTATCATTGCTTATTATTCATTCAGCATTATTCATCATTACTAACATTATCATCATCATTATCATTGTTATTATCATTGTTATTATTATCATTATTATCATTATCATTATTATCGTTATCATTATCAATATCATTATCATTATCGTCATTATTCTCATTATTATTATCATTAGTGGTGAAAGTTGTCTCATTATTATCATCATTATTTTCATTTTATTATTACTATCTTCATTTTACTATTATTATAATTATTATCATTATTATCGCTATTCTCGTTATCATTATCATTCTTCTTATTATCATTATCATTATTAGTGTTATAATTATTATCATCATTATCATCACCATCATCGTTATTATTATTATCATTAACATTATCATACCTACAGTTATCATTGTCATTGTTATAATCATCATTTTTATAGTAATTATTATGATTATTACTAATATTACAATTAGCACTATCATATTATTATTATTATTATTATTATTTTATTATATTTATTATCATTATATTTATTATTATTATCATTATTATTAATTTATTATATATTATTTTATTAATATTATTATTTTATATTATTATTATTATTATTATTATTACTATCATCATCATCATTATCGTTATCACATCATAGACGGCGGGAAAAATCATCTTTATTCATATCATTCCCTTTCTATTTTAAAATAACATTTATTTTCTATTTATCTCTCTGCGCTTATTTCTTATTTTCTCTAACGCTATGATATATATATATATATATATATATATATATATATATATATATATATATATATATATATATATATTATATACTATATATGTATTAAACCAACTGCATTTATTTAATTATATGAACTTACTTAAATCATCTCTTTAAAGAAAATAATTGACTATAACAAGGAAGGAAGGAAGGGGATAAGTAAATTCAAATTCAAAATAAATCAGGAATAGCAGGAATGCCAAGGGGAAAGAAAGAAGGAATAAGGAAGGGGGAGAGGGAAGAGATGAAGAGAGAAGAGGGGAGAAAGGAGAAGCAATATTGTTTATACACTCAAATCAAATCCATGAAACAGAACAAAATAACAGATGTCCGAGGGAAACAAGGAAGAGGAAGAGAGAGAGAGAGGAGAGAGAGAGAGAGAGAGAGAGAGAGAGAGAGAGAGAGAGAGAGAGAGAGAGAGAGAGAGAGAGAGAGAGAGAGAGAGAGAGAGAGAAGAAGAGAGAGAGAGGGAGAGCGGAGGAACGGAGCAGGGAGAGGAGGGACGGGAGGGAGGGGGGGAGGGAGAGGAGAGGGAGGAAGGCATATTATTATTCATATACGAGAGAGAAGAAAGAAAAAAAATCGTCTCTCGATGAATAATTCTCCGAGCGTGTAGACAATATAGCTCGCCCGGAAAGATTTCAACGCACAGGGTGGGAGTGAGTCCAGCAGACCCGCACTCGCTCGGCTGGAGAAACGCGGGGTGTGTGGCCGTGGATGCTTGTTTTTTTTTTTGAGTTGTGGATGGACTTCGCTTGTTTTTTTTGGGGTGTTTATGAAGGAGAGGGGGGGGGAGGTAGATCGGGGTAGTTTAATAGATATTGATAAATAGAAGTGATCCAGACGGGAGAGAGATATGAATACCTGTGGTTTAAAAATGAGCGAGGGAATACTTACCACCACTTCGGTTCTCGAGCTTTCTTCCCCGTCGCGGAGATCGTGGCACAGAGCAGGAGCAGTGCCACCCCCGTCAGGAGGTGCCACCCTGCCACCTCCCTCCTCCAGCCGAACCTCATCCTCGAGCGCCCTTCGTCAGCAGGAGGAGGAGTGTCCCGAGGGAGGGCCTGGCAGAGGCTTCAGCGTCCTCGTAACCTATGTCGATGCCGTGGCGGTGGATCCCGTGTCATGCTCAGGGCCTGGTGCTTCGAGGAGGACCTGAGACGCTGAGGGGGAGTCTCGAGGTCCTTGGGGCAGAAATCGGTAAAACTCACGACCTCGACTCAGAGTCTGTCACTGAAACGACCGTTGTTGTTTTCTCAGCAAGTGTTTCCAATCAGCAGTTACACCCGATTGGCTGCTACATCCTCCACACTCGAATCACTAATCACTGCCAGAGTACTCAGCGAGCTCCTCCGGGCCAGGTTCTCTTAATCCTCGAGCGTCAAGCTGCGGGCTCACTCTCACCGACCTTACCCTGCCTTTTATTCACGAGAACAAATTCTGGAATTTCCAAGGGTTAAACGGGCGCGTCAGGATCACTTTGTTTCAATTAGGACGACCACACAATCTTAACACCATCGGGCTGCCCGGCGGGACGTTTCGCAAGTGAGCTTGACCAGCGTCGCTCGGGTCTATATATTTCCTTCCGAAGGACGTGATTCACAGGAAGAAAATGTCCTTTCCGAGAAGGCTCTCGAGTCACTTCCCGCCCGCACTCGCAGGGCGGGGGAGGAGGGGCGCCGCCGATCAAACGCGCCGCCGCACCGCTAACAAAACCCTCCCACGCTCGATAAAAATCACTACAATCGCATTCGTTGCCGCTCACACGCTGCACAGCGAGACAGGAGACCACTTCCGCGGGACGAGGCGTCAGAGCCCCTCCGGTGCACGAGAGAGAGAGACGATAAAGAGAGGAAGAGAGGCGGCGGAGAGACCCGCAGGTGAAGAGGCGACACGGCGCGGGCAGTGGCAGGCGGCTGGCAAGAAGTCCCACGGACCTCGGGAGATGATGTGAGCGTGAGGAGAGACCGGCCCGTGTGATCGGCTTCGAGGCTGTCGAGAGGGGCGGACTCGGCGCGGGTCAGATACACACCAAAGCGAGCCGACTTTTACACTGGCTAGGTCCTCCTGCGGCCGCGCATGCTCGCTGCCGCTTCGCTTCTCGCCGTGGGTCGCATGTCGATGAAGTGAACTACCCGGCTGGCTGCGAAAAAGCGGAGCCACTGCGGGGAAATTTTGCTACAGAAGTGGCCGCTAATCGGAGCACGTAGAGGCATCCGGCAACCCAGGTCAAGGCGCATGCGTGGAATCACCAGGTGTGTGCCGCTGCGTGTGGTATCCGTCGCTATGTCAGACAAACCAATTTATATCAGGCCATATCTTAATGTTAGCCCAGACTAGTTGACCAGCGTGGCTCAGCCCGATGCCTGCCTTCCCGACGGAATTAATGATATCTTTTTCACGTAATTGGCCAATTGAAATCGCCTCTTCGGAAGGTGATGAAATATGGTTTTAATTACTCCTGTAATGGAAAACCATCGGTCTGTATGGGCGGTTTCATTAGCGGAGATCTACCGTCACGAGACACGAACAACTTTCACTTTTTTGCGATGGATTATCTACTGTAATGTCATCGCCGACTCAAAACAGAAAAATAATATACCTTTAAAGTTAATGATGATAGATACGCCTTTCAGTAAATAAGATGATATAATTTCTTAAGAGATAAGAACTCTCACTTCCCGGGGGAGGAGAGAATAGGAAGAGGGAAAAGGGGAAGATATGATAACATAAAAGGGGAGAATGAGCAACAACAAGGACAGGAATTAAGCAGAAACGAAGATAAATAAAGGAATATGAATAAACAAAGAAATATATAGAGAAATAAACGAAGAAAGAAAAGCGGGAGTACTATCTAATGAAAATATTAAGAAAGGAAAAGTAGAATGGAATGGAAAGTATTAAGAGGAGGAGGAAGAGGGAGAGGAAGGAAAGGAGGGAGAGGAAAAGAAAGAGGAGGAGGTGAAGAAAGAAGAGAAGGAGGGGGAGAGGAGAGAGAGGGGCAGAAGAAGGAGGAGGAAGAGGAAGAGAAGGGAAGGGGAAGAAGAAGAAGAAGGAAAGGGAGGAGGGGGAGGAAGAAAGAAAGAGAAGGAGGAGCGGGGCAGAAGAAAGAGAAGGAGGAGGGGAAAAGGGAAGAGAAGGAGGAGGAAGGAGAAAAGGAGGGAGGGAAGAAGGAAGACCGGGAAGAAGAAGAGGAGGAGGAGGAGGAGGAGAAGGTCCCGCGACGAGACAATGCAAATGGAAGGCCCGACTCGACCCCTCGCTCGAACGCACGACCCGGATTCAGGGACCGCCGCTTCAGGGATGGGAAACGACGGAGATTTCAGTTAGCGCCAGTGGGTTATGATTTTTGGTTGTATTTCTCTCTTTCTCTCTGTTTCTCTCATTTTCCTTCTTCTCTCGTCTTCTGTGTCTTCTCTCTCTATATATCTATATTCTCTCTCTCTCTTTCTCTCTCTCTCTCTTCTCATTCTCTCTGTCTTCTGTGTCTTTCTCTTTCTCTATCTATCTCTCTTTTCTCTCTCTCTCTCTCTCTCTCTCTCTCTCTCTCTCTCTCTCTCTTCTGTGTCTGTTTCTCTATATCTCTCTCTCTCTCTCTCTCTCTCTCTCTCTCTCTCTCTCTCTCTCTTCTCTCTCTCTCTCTCCTCTCTCTCTCTCTCTTTCTCTCTCTCTCTCTCTCTCATGTCTCCTCTCCTCCTCGTCTATCTATCTATCTATCGATCTATCTATCTATCTATCTATCTATCGATCTATCTATCTATCTATCTATCTCTATCCTATCTATCTATCATCTATCTATCTATCTGCCTCCTCCCATTTCCTATCTCTTTTCTTCATGACTTAAAAAAGCGTAAGAAAACTAATTATCAAATCTCTCTTCAATGACTGAAAAGTCGTAAATAACAAAACTAATTATCAAATCTTCTCCCTCGGTCATGCCAACTTCGAACCTTCAAGAAAAAAAAAAATTCTCGTAGCCCTGAGAATTTGAATATTAAGAACCCCTTTTCCACCTCCCGTCGTCTTCGTTCAGCCACAACGAAGACGACGCTTTTAATCGCAAGGAAAAGGAGGGAAAATCGTGCCGGAGAGCCCCTCGCTGCCCCGGTGTCTGGTTACCCCCGAAGGCGCAAGCTCTCGTCCCTTCGTCGTCCTCGCTCCTGAAGGACGGGCGAAGGGGGGGAGGAAGGGGAGGGGGCCGAGGAGCGAGTGCAGTGGAGCAGCGCCACTTAGCTCTAATTGCTCATAATTGACTCCGACAATGATGAAAGGGGGCGGAGCCAGACATAAGGTCATGAGGGGCTGCCACCCAGTTTCCGTGACCTTAGCCAATCACAGCCCTGGACAGCGTAAGGATCATGTCACGTCCACCAATGACAGGAGCCCGAATATTTAACATGCAGCGCGATGTTCTCTGGCGAAATTTGGGGAGCGGAGTAATTTTCCCGACGCTATTTTTTTTTTTTTTTTTTTTTTCTAATTCACAACGGACAATGTATTTACCCTGCTTGGTGTTGAAGGCGGCCCGCTGAACTTTGGGAACGACAATAACATGATAATTCTTTTTTTTTCTGTCTCCCCTTTCTCTCCGGACTGAAAGAAACAGGATCCAGGAATTAGTCAGAAGATTCGTCATTACTATGCAGATGACCTGAAGCCATGCCCAGGCGCTCCGTTGTTGCATATCGCGTCTTTGTCTTTTCTCTCGTCCTGTGTCTTTGTCATTATCATTTTCTTCGGGAACTTTGGGGAATCGGGGCGAAGAGAAGGTCGTCTTCTCCTCTTCGAGTCGCCATTGTGAGAGGATCTGAACACAGAATGATATCCGGTTCTGAACACTTGTGACCTCTGCGCCGGCCGCGACCCCAGCTGCGTCGCCTCTGTATGGAGAGTCGGGTCTGCTCTCTTTCTTCTCTCTCTCTCTCTCTCTCTGTCTCTCTCTCTCTCTCTCTCTCTCTCTCTCTCTTCTCTCTCTCTCCTCTCTCTCCTCTCTCTCTCTCTCTCTCTCTCTCTCTCTCTCTCTCTCTCTCTCTCTCTCTCTCTCTCTCTCTCTCTCTCTCTCTCTCTCTCTCTCTCTCTCTCCTCTCTCTCTCTCTCTCTCTCTCTCTCTCTCTTCCATTTTCTCCTCTTCCCTTACTTACTCTATCATTATAATCTATTTCTCTTGACTGAAAATATTTTTTCTGAAGGTAGTAGGATACTATATATATATAGAAAACGTAGACACATTTTTTCGAATGCAATTTCTTTCTAACTTTCAAAAAAAAGAAAAAATAGAAGAGAATCGCAGACATATATACTGAAAATATGACAGTTACTGAATAATTAACTCTGAGTGTGAGACTTCATACCACGGAGACTCCTAACTTCCAAAATAACTTTGAAATAAGTTACACTGACAATTTTTTTTTACTCCGTACCATGAGATTCCTAACTTCCTGAATAACGTTTAAGCAAGCTACACTTAACTTTCCTTTTTCCGAACCATACCACGGAGAATCCTAACTTTAAGAATAAGTTTTAAGTAAGCTACACTGACTTAAATCTTCCTTTTTCCGACACCATACCACGGAGATTCCTAACTTTAAGAGTAAGTTTTAAGTAAGCTACACTGACTTAAACTTTCCTTTTTCCGACACCATACCACGGAGATTCCTAACTTTAAGAATAAGTTTAAGTAAGCTACACTGACTTAAACTTTCCTTTTTCCGACACCATACCACGGAGAATCCTAACTTTAAGAGTAAGTTTTAAGTAAGCTACACTGACAAACTTTCTGTTTTCCGATACCATACCACGTCCTTTTAAGTAAGTTACACTGACTTAAACTTTCCTTTTTCCGACACCATACCAAGGAGAATCCTAACTTTAAGAGTAAGTTTTAAGTAAGCTACACTAACTAACGTATTTTTTTCTGACTCCATACCACGGAGAATCCTAACTTTAAGAGTAAGTTTTAAGTAAGCTACACTGACTAACGTATTTTTTTCTGACCCGGTTTCCTCTCCATAGCAATATCGAAGCCAGAGGGAAGCTCGTGAGTACCGCT